CTCCACTACGGCTATGGTCTGGAGCACATCTAAGGCATCTCCTCGAAGAGCTATAGTCAGGTTTACAGCCTTTTCTTTTTCTGACCATCCATTCGCTCTTGCAGCTGATTCGAACTGTTTCATGTCGTTGTTCCATGACGATTTACCGTCGAAAGTTGGAACTTTGACATGAACATAACCTCCGCTTCCTTCAAATTTCGGCCGTGTTTCCAACTTACATTTCGTCTCGTCTTCTTTTATCTCCACCGGATCTAAAGCTACCGTATTAATTGGTGGTAGCACTCTCGTGTTAGTTATCATGGTCTCTAACTGTCTGATTTTCTCTTCTACTTTTTCGAACGTTTTGGAAACTTCTTCAAATTTCTCATTATTCTTTTTCGAAGTTTCTTCCATCATTTGAGAAACATTTTCAAATTTCTCGTCGAATCTTTTTGACACATTTTCGAGTTTCTCGTCGTTTTGTCTAGCTACTTCTTTAATAATTTGAGACGTTTCATTGAATCTTTCATCATTTTTTTTAGAACTCTCTTCGATCTTCATTAAAACTGCTTCTTCTGCTGATTGAAAATGGAATGTCTCTGGGTCATCTCCATTCTTGTTAAGAACATTTTTTAGTCGTTCTTGGAGGATCTTCTTGGACCCGCTGCAGTCTTCATCGCGTTCTTCTAGTTGCTCACGCAACTGTTTCACTGAAAGTTCTACTAGCAGCATCTTTGGTCAGGCACACACGTACTTTTTAACTGTTCTTTCGTACAACGATCACTACTGAACTACGCGGATGTTCCCGACGAACAATACCTTTCAAAAGTTCAAAAGTCTTTTTCAAAAATCAAATTAAATTTATCTACAATCCCACTTCTGCACCACTGTTAAGTTTATATAGTTCTAATTTATAGTTCTTTATTCTAATTTATTGTCTATATTCTAATTTATTAAAACTCACGATAGCTAATTACGAATTTATTAAAGTCTTTATTAATCCTAATTACAAATAATTTATTTTCGTTTCGTTACAAGTAAATCGCGTTTCCCGATTTTCTTATGACTAAGTTCTTCAATAAAATTTCGTCTTTATATATAAAGAAACTTCCGCTATCTGGAAAGTTCGGTGACCTACTTTTGCAAAGAACCCCATGGAATATACTGGTTTTTTCGGTGAAGGCAATTAACCGCTGAGACTAGTTCTTTTTCAACTTCGAGTCGTGGATGACTCACTAAAATTAGGGTCTAGATATTTCTGTAAACAACTGGTATCGAAGCTCAGGTAGATTTTGACCTACAAATTACGAGAATCAATAAAAAAGAATTAGTCATAAAATATTTACAGTTCTATATGCCATAACATTTAAAATCGTAACAATATTATATGCCGTAGGTCCTATTTCAATAAAATAAATTCTTTTTGTCCTAACCAGCTCTGCATATCTGCTTTTCTGGTGGCCATAGTTGGCAGATGCTCTACTAATCGGCCGTGTAAGAAACGGTATCCATCACTATTACCGAATTTTATCCTACCAGATCTTAGATACCAGCATCGTGACCAGCATTTACCCACGATTCGTCCAGATAATAAATCTTTTTGTATGCAGAACGAACCTCTCTAATAGAGCGAAGATATCTTCGTCGCCATGAGACTACATCTTCCCTTTCTATGAAGACAGATTTACGGGAGCGTTTGGCATATATAAATTTTAAATCTTCCTTTATTAGTATCCCTAACGTCTCTTTGCTCATTTTGTGGAATGTGACCATTCTCCATTACCTTTGTCCTAATGGATTCGGGGATTGGCGCTTTATTCTCAAAAAAGAAAGAATGCATAGTAGAGCGTACAACATTTTTTTGGTACTCGTCCAATTTAACTTTTTTTTCTACCACTACAATATACTTTTGGAACTTGCAAAATCCCAGTCACCTTTTTTTCACGTACAATGCGTTATATTGTCGACATGGATACTCGCGTTAAAAGCTACAGCTTCCACTATACGAAGTGTAGTTTTATATTGTCATACACTCTACAGACAATCTGCTTTTCTGCTACAGAGGAAAGCTTCTCCGCTTTCTTTGTACATTAGTTGGACACGCTCCGGCGTCCATCTTAATGCTGTGAAAAGAATTAACATCAATAATAATATTCTGCTATTTGTTTTTTATTTACCTACCTCAAAAACTATTTTAAAATTATTAAACAGAATAAAGTCTATTTAATAAATATAAAACAAAGTCACATGCATAAGAAACAGAATACACCACGCCTATGCACATATAGAATGTGAAACAAATAAAATATTACTCTCAGTCCTATTTATTCCAATGACGTAAATATATAGTCCAGCTAAATGTTGATAAGTTTACTGATGTTTCAAAGTATTAAACTGAACTTTTCCAACTATATGCTCGAAAAACGCACCGATATGCACAATTTATATTGTTACGGGGGCAAATTTTATGGAATTATCTTTTATTTCATTTATTTACATTGGCGAAGCATACACAATAAAAACGACCCCGGTAAAATTTTAGTCCTTAGTTAACATTGTTGCCGTTAGCTCTCAGTTAAATTTGCAGATGAGCGACCTTTAATTGAAAATTGTCCTATTATAGAAATTATGTCTATTTAGCAATCAATACTCATATATCACAGCATTATCGAGATACATTGGTTTAGGGTGGCTCTATTTCAGCATTAAACAGTACTGATTATTTCACTGATATATTTAAAGGTTTTAAGTTGCATAAATAAAATTTAACCAACTCAATTGAAATATTCTTAGATTTACTGACTAATAAGAGAAAAATAATTCATGAGCATTAAAGGACATAACCTTAAAGCTCATGGATAACCAAAGCTATAGACCCGGCGGTTGAAATCCGAACTCGAATTGAATACTCAAGATCTGTATTCCTTAAAATGAAGCACCTCATGACTAATACAACTTTTTCACTGGATACTATATATACATTCGTGAAAATATACATAACGCATGTCCCTAAAGTTTTCGAAAAATTTTAAATTCGAAAGTATTATTAGTAGGAAGCATTGGATCAAGTTGTCATTGAAAACCACAGTTAGTACATAACTTAAACCATATAAACAATGTCAGTTTTGACAAATTCGGTTTGATAAGATGTCTGTTTCTTCTTCTTTCAGTGCCCTGTCCGATTATCGAACGTTGGCGATCATATTGGCAATAATAACCTCATTCACGGCGGCTCTAAATAAATTAGCGGTGGTTTCTTGATACTATTCTCGTAGATTTCGTAGCCAGGATGTTCTTCGTCGGCCTGGGCCTCTCCTTCCGTCGATCTTACCCTGTATTATGAGGTGTGGTAGGTTATACCTCGCTGGATGTCTCATTACATGACCGAAATATTGTAACTTCCAAATTTTTATCGTTTTTGTTATTTCTGTGCTCCTTTTCATTCGATGTAAAACTATTTCATTTCTTATTCGATCAACCCAACTTATCCGCAATACTCGTCGATAAATCCACATCTCAAAGGCCTTTAATTTTTTCATTAATGTCTCTGTAAGGGTCCAGCTCTCCATACCATACAGCAATGTGGAGAATATGTAGCAGCGTATTAATCTGATTTTAAGGTTTAACGTAATATGTATCTCTATTAATTAGAATTTTCTTTAATTTTATAGAAGTCGGCTCTGGCTTTTTCAATGCGTATTCTTATTTCTTTATTTATATCCCAGTTATCGTTAACGTTTGCACCCAAGTAGGTAATATTGTGGACTCTTTCTAACTCTATTCCATACGCTCTGATGTTCGTTGGTTGTCACTCCGTTTTGCTGACAACCATAAATTTTGTCTTAGAAGTATTAAGTTTTAGCCCATATTCATCACATGCTTCGGTTACCCTATTTATAAGTCGTTGCAGGTCTTCTTCATTGGAGGCAATAAGTACCGTGTCGTCTGCATATCTGAGATTGTTGACATTAATTCCGTTGATTTTCATCCCTGTATCTTCAACTAAGTTTTCTTTGAAATAAGATGTCTACAAACTTCATATTCATCAAAGTGTTTATCGTTTAGTTGGAAACGTACCAAAATGCGATATTGTAAGAATTTTTAGTGCTCAAAATATTTCTGTGTCAACGATTTACCAGCCAATTAAAGAGTGCAAAAATGGTATACCATACCTTAATTTGCTCAAAAGAGTAAGACCAAGTGTTTTAACTCTTGCTCGGGAACAGAGATTAATTCAGGATATGGAGAACCAATTAGGAAAGTTTTTGCGAAATATTGGCCGAAGGTATAATGTTTCACGAATGACTATAAGTAGAACAATTTCTAGAAATAATTTAAAACGATATAAAAGAAAAAAGCCCCTAAGTACACACCAGTTAAAAAAAAAATGTCTAGATGTTGTCGTGCAATGAGACGTATTTATTTTCCTGGTAAAATTCTCATTATTGATGATGAAAAGTCATTATCATCATCATTGGCTTTTACAACTCTTCGTGAGTTTTTGCCGCGTTTACTATTGCCTTCCATTGATTCCGATCCTGTGCTATTATTTTCCATGGCCTTACTTCCATCTTCTCCAGGTCTTCCCTGACTGCGTCTTTCCACCTTTTTCTAGTCCTTCCTGTCGATCTTCTACCATCTGGTCTTTCCCAAAACACATTGCTAATCAGTCTGTCGTCATCATGATGAAATTATGATGACATCATCATGATGAAAAGTTTTTTACTTTATCCAATTCCGAAAGGCAACGACGGATTTTATACACGCAATGTACAAGATGCACAGGAAGAAATTAGGTTTAAGGAAAAGTGAAATTTGCCGATAAAATTTTGGTATGGTGTGCCATCTCAGAAGCTGGTGTTTCACAGCCGTTTGTTGGGCGTGTTCGCGGTGAAGCTCTCAATGCTGACAGTTACGTTGACGGGTGTCTTTCAAAGCTTGTTCAATTTATAAATACTCATCATCTCAATAATGAAATCATATTTTGTCCCAACCAAACATCGTGCCATTACGCCAGTAGAATGACAGATTGGTTAACTGCTCAAAATATAAATTTTGTTCCCGAACGCGACAACCCTCCAAATGTGCCTCAGGCGAGGCTTATAGAAGAGTTTTGGGCTATTTTGAGTCAAATGGTGTATTATAATGGCTGGAAAGCCCAAAATGAGGATCGGCTAAGGCGAAGAATTTTGCAAAAATTTCGTGAGATCGACTTAGAACCAGTCCAAAGGCTTATTGCAGATGCAAGACCAAATTTATTTAATGAAATATTAAGTATATAAGTATTTAGTTATTGAAATAAACTTAATTTACAATTAGAAAATGCATATTTATGTTTTCCGAAAACTTTGACATGCGTTAAAATGAATAAACTCAATAAATGGAACACAAAAACACATAGACAATTTTATATGCTTTTTAAAGGTTAAATTTTGTTTCTAAGTTGCATTGATTTAATGTGTTACATACGACAAGAAAACTTAGCTTATATTTCTTTTACGTTTTATTTATATAGGAACAACAGTAATAAAATATAACATCAAATTCAGACAAAAAGAGGCGAGTGACCCAAAATTTTTTGCTTGCGGCGCTTATTCACCGTTTCTATAATTACTTCTCTTAATTGAACACTCTTTTTAAACCACCATGAGCTGCAACTGTTGCTGGTGAAAGGGAAAATAGAATAAGGCACGAGTTTCACGTAGGAGATGTTAGTGTTTGCAAAACGTCATAGAGTGGACAGGTCTCGATAGTTAATCCTTATTGCAAGCCGCGCAGGATAGAAAATGATTTGTCAGAATTATTGCCGATCTTTGGAAATGAAGAGGGCATTCTAAGAGGAAGAAACTTAACATGAACTAAAAGCTATTCAACTATGGGATGTAGAAACTTTATGCTCCTATAAGTGTGCAATCATACCGAGGCACCGAGCATAGGATGGTATCATAGTATCATCGCCACGTAAAATGAATGCATGGTACAGTGTGTATGCGTGGCCTTGCTATGGAATGGTACAGCTAAGTTGATAGCATTAAATAATGTTAACTTAATTATTTAATTTTTTTTTCTGTACAACATTTTATGGTTTTTTGATTATACTCTATATATATTTTTTGATTATACCCTTATATAACTATAAGGCCATTATAATAATAATAACGATATATATTAAGATTAGGAGCTTTGATGGATAATGGATGATGTGCTTGGATAATGGATTATAGTAGAATGATTTTTTTATTATAAAACATGTGTTGTTTACTGCAACATATATGCCTGATATGGCTAATATGTCCTAGAATCTCAAGTTTTAATTTCTCCTTATTCAAGCCAAACATTGTTAATGAAGGAATAGAAACTTGGATTAAACATTTATTAACTTTATATCCAATTAACCATAAGCTTGTTTATTTAATTAATGCAGACATTAGAGTGAATTTCCCATCAGTTTATTACAATTCTGAAAAGGAAATAACGATATTATGTAAAACTCTTCCAAATCTGTACATTATTTCGGGGAATGTAACTGAAATTTTACCTCTACTAATTGAATTGTCGGTACTCAATAGTACGGGATTATTTATTATTATATGTACCGAATTTAATCACGAGGATGTACATATTTTAAATACATATTACATACATAACATTTATATTATTGTTACAGATGAAGATGCGCATATATACCAAACATTTCAGTGTTCACTTAGAACTTGCACCAAGAAAAGCCCCACTCCAAAGTCCTTAAATTTTTTTAAGGGTGTTGACTTTGAGAGTTTACCGCCAGTACAAGCATTGTGGTACTTTTATCCACCTTTCGTTATTAACCCAGAAGAAGGTATCCACATCGAGATAATAAATATGATTGTTACAAACATAAAATTAAAAATAAAGTACATAATATCTAACAATCATGCCAGTCCGTTGGTAGTTGACCCAGATTTTTATAATGCATCTTACGATATATTTGTTAACCCCATTTTGTTTCCTTCTGCGTTATTTGACAGTACCTATAGCATTACCGAGGATAGAGCCGTTTTTTCTGTTTCCTGTCATTAACATTAATAATGAGTGGAAGACACTTCATGGAGAGTTTCATTTTTATGTTTGGAGATGCTTTTTGGTTTTGATTGTTATACTTTATGCAGTTTTAAAAATATTTTCTACATATAACATTAAAGTACCAATTATTAATGTCATCGTAGGGATTCTATTAGGAGGTACCCAGATTAGCACTAAAAATTTGTCGATGAAAGTTTTAATATTAAATTACATAATTTTTAGTTTGTTATTTTCTACTGCATACAAAAGTAAAATGGTAGATATAATGACAAATGACAAGTCTACTCAGCTGATAACTTCTAGGAAAGATGCTTTAAAGCATTCATTTAAATTTGGTGCACCTAGTCAATTTTCTCTGCAACTAATGAAACATTCGTACGACCCTTTAGATGTTGCTCTTGTCCAAACGGGTTTGGTAATCGACTGTGGGAGTGCTAAGGAATGTCTCGATCGTATTGCCTTTCAAAAGGATATAATGACAATAAAATTATTGATGCCTTTGCAATCGCTAATACCTAAGATGTATCTGGATTCTAATGGACGATCTTTGTTTTACATCACCGACACGGATAAACACCATTATCAATTTAGTATCTACTTTCAGAAAGGACATCATTTATATGATATATTTAATACTAAACTTATGGGTCTAAAAGACAGTGGAATTGTGGATTTTCTGTACAAAAAATACAAGCGAAACTATACCAAAGCTATGACTCTTGCTAAGTTAGAAAAGGTTAAAGGATATTCAACTCTAAGATTAAAGACTTTTCAAACTACTTTTTATGTGTATTTTATTTTTGTGTTTTTTAGCGTACTAGTGTTTACTATAGAACTATTTCTTGGTTATAAAAAGCGATAAAAACTTCATATGTATATCTCAAATTTTGTAGACGGTTTTTCACTTACATTCACACTTGAATGTTCTAATTAATTAAAATTATTCTTTCTCTTTATTTGCCTTCATTTTTAACATTTTGGGTATGGATTCTAGTCCTAGTAAAAATACAAAGGAAAATAGTAAAGACATCATCTACAGAAAATCACTAAAGAAAAATTAAATGTGGAATCTTTGTGGAATGACTCGACCAGAAAAATGTATCAACAGAGGTTGTCGCAGAAAGTTCAACTCAAACAAAGGAATAACATCGAAGATATAAATGAGAACTGGAAATAATTAGAGTTGGCCACACTACTTATGATATAGTCAGGAAAAAAAGCACCTAAGAAAAGACACAAAAACAAGGATCTATAAAACAGCAATTAGATCTATAATGGTATACACATCCCAAATAGAATTGTCATCTAGAACCCATACAGTGACATCGTTTCAGGGTTAGCAACCTCCAAATTGGGAGTCCTATTAGGTGAGAGGTTTACCCGTATAAGCAGAGCATAACCGACTATTTTTTTTGCAGTTCTTCCACACCAAACATTTTTTATTCAATTTTATAAATCTTTTTTAAGTTTAAATGCATTTTTTTTTATTTTGTAATTGGAACGAAATATTTATATATAAATTTTATATTTTATTCTTTTAACAAATAAATTGTAACAAAAAAAATTTCTAAATCGCTTTGATTAATTTTTTTTAGGTGTATCTTATCGAAATAAATACTTTTTTATCCCGGTAATTTTTCCAAAAGTCCTTTTGGAGTTATTTGCAATTTTTTGTTGAAAAAATACCGTAATTAATGATTTTTAAAAATTGTTTTTCTAAAAAACTACTAAATTAATTGCAAATATTTTGGTTTATGTCTTGCTGAAAACGGGAAACGAATATTTAGATTATGCATTTCGAGCAATCTTTCGCTGTATACGATAATAAGCGTGTAAAACCCTCTTTTCTCTAGATTAATTTCCAGACAATATTCAGCCAACTATTCTTGTAATTTCCACATCATATAGGATGTATCGTCCAGATCAACTGCTATGAATATACAATAAATAGAAGAGTATATAGTATAGTGTCTCGTATTGGTATTCCCATACCGCCGCATTGTTTTAAGACTTCCTTCATGTATCCTTGAAACAAACTAGGAGCAATACGACCAGCTTGTCTTTGTCCTTTTGATATTGAAGAAGGTGAATTAATTTTATACCCAATTTACTATTCGTCGCTTTAAGGTATATATTTTGCACAGCTTTCATAATTGTGTGTTTAATGGTCTATTTTTGAATTGCTGACCCCAGTCGCGAAAATGATACACTACCGTCTATTATTTGGAAGTCTATGAAAATTAGGTGGATGGGTCTGTTCCTTTAGATTTATTTTCAGTAAGCTATCTTAAAACAAATATAGCTTATATATTATCAATTAACGGACTCCCAAGTTTAAAACCACTTTTCTTTTCGCTTTCTGTCATATTATCTGCTATTCGAGTTTGAATAATTTTTCTATATAGACATCCACTCGAGCAAAAAACACTGATACTCGATAATATCTACACTCTGATGAACTACTGCCTTTTTTGCCTATCGATAAATTAAATACCTGCTTCCTCTAATTTGGGATATTTTCTTCTTTTAGACATCGCATAAATATAGTTGCCAGTATTTCTAATACTTTTCCAGGAGCTACCTTAATTAGCTCTGTCGGAATGTTAAAGGGTCCAGGCGGCTTTACGTTTTTCATTTGTGGGGCTGCCTTCTTAAGTTCTTCAGGGTATATGTCGCCATACCTATACAGTGACCCCTGAAAAGGGAAAAGATGCGGAAGAATAAGAAGGGGATATGTCGTCATCTTCTGTGAAGGCCTCAAGTAAAATTGGTGGGTTCTTGTCTGCCAAAAATGTTTCCCCGTAGTTATCAGAATAGGCTTTTAAAATTCCGTCCATTTATACACTATTGGTGGGTTCTTGTCTGCCAAAAAATTTTCCCTGCAATTATCAAAAGATGCTTTTAATATTCCGTCCATTTATCTACTTCAATTAACGAAATACTTCAATATTCCTTATGATCCTAAGATTTTTTAATAGTTTTCATGCTTTACTGGTATGGCTTGAGTGTTTCGCTTATAGATATTTATCTCAGTGCACCTCGTTTCCCACATATCATTTTTTGCTTTATTTGTTATTTTTTTCCTCCCTTCTGACCCTAATTATGACCGGAAAGATATTCTTTCCGGTCATGTGAAGCGTTTGTCGCCAGCAATTTCTCGTACAGTTGTTTCTTTTCGATAACAACTGTTTTGATACTACTACTCTATCTCAGCTTTTTTCTTGCAGTCTACCAAAAGTTTCGTTCCCTCAATACTTCGTTAGTCGCATCTTGATTTTATCTCTTAAAGTTTTCATAAAGTTAATCAACTAAAATTGCTGTCGAAAGGTACTACAGTTTATTGGCAAGTCTTAGCTGTTACCAAAATATTAGTGGAATAATTATCTAAGCTTCAAAAAATTTTTGCCTAATAATAACAAAGTCATTAATGAACTTGAGTTGTCTTTGTGTTGAAACCATCAGCGATTTTTAATGTTTACTGATGGTATAAATATATTATTCTCTCACCGTGATCATGTCAAGCCTCTTCTCCATGAGAACCTACTATTCAAGTACTGGTGTTTTGTACGTTTTTTTATTCCTTAACACTTGACAATTCGTTAAAGAAATTATTTTTATCTGCGTTGAAGTCATATCCTTTTAATTTTATTTCTAGTTGGAGTATTCGCTCATTAATCTGGTTTTAACTAGTGATCAATCTATGAAATTGTTTTTTCGCCAGATTAGAAACTCATATCTTTGGGAACTCCGCTTTTTATATGGATGTAATTGTTTTGTTCTTCAATTGCTCTATCCTTCTTTCTAGTTTCTTAAATGTGACAATATCTACGTTGTGTTTCTTCAGTTCTTGTGTTATTTTTGTATATTTTTTGGTTATACTTGTCACATTCCAGGTTCCAAAAATCATAGTCCTTTTCTGTTAACATTTAGTCTGTTTGGTTTTACCATCGATTATCATTTGATCTATCTGTTTTTTTCCGCTTGAGAAATTTAGAGGTTGCTTTTTTTTGAGATGACGAGTTGCAAGTATGTCGATCCAGCCCTCTTTCCAGGAGAACCAGGTAATTTTTCTGTCAGGGTTTTTTTCTCTCATACTGGCTGTTTTAAGAAACTAGGAAGCTAGTTTCTTCTTTTTGTTTCTATTCGAGATGAGATACGCATGACGAAACACCATGCTTGGGACTGGTACAGCGAATTTGACAATACTATATAATATATAATATTAAATTACATATTTAGCTTTATTTCTCTATAATATTTGATTTTTTTTATTATTTCCTAATTATTTCTACTATAAGGCCATTATAATATTAAATAACCATATAATAAGATTATGAGCTTTGATAACTTTTTGTGCTTTAATGGATTATAGTAAAATGAATATTTTTTTTATTATAAAATATGTGTTGTTTACTGCAACATCTATGCCTGATATGGCTTATATGTCCTAGAATTTCAAGTCTTAATTTTTCCTTATTCAAGCCAAACATTGTTAATGAAGGAATAGAATCTTGGATTAAAGTTGTATTAACTTCATATCCAATTAACAAGAATCTTGTTTATTTAATTAATACAGACATTACAGTGAATTTTCCATCAGTTTATTACAATTCTCAAAAGAAAATAACGATATTATGTAAAACTCTCCCAAATGTGTACATTATTTCTGGAAATGTAACTGAAATTTTACCTCTACTAACTGAATTGTCTATACTCAATACTACGGGATTATTTATTATTATATGTAATGCATGTAATCACGAATATGTACATATTTTAAATACATATTACATTCATAACATTTATATTATTGTTAAAGATAAAGATGCACATATATATCAAACATTTTATTGTTCATTTGGAACTTGCTCCAAGAAAAGCCCCACTCCAAAGTCCTTAATTTTTTTTAAGAGTGTTGACTTTGAGAGTTTACCGCCAGTACAAGCATTGTGGTACTTTTACCCACCTTTCGTTATTAACCCAGAAGAAGGTATCCACATCGAGATAATAAATCTGATTGTTAAAAACATAAAATTAAAAATAAAGTACATAATATCTAACAATGATGCCAGTCCATTGTTAGTTGACCCAGATTTTTATAATGCATCTTACGATATATTTGTTAACCCCATTATGTTTCCTTCTGCGTTATTTGACAGTACCTATAAGATTACCGAGGATAGAGTTGTTTTCCTGTTTCCTGTCATTAACATTAATAATGAGTGGAAGACACTTCATGGAGAGTTTCATTTTTATGTTTGGAGATGCTTTTTGGTTTTGATTGTTATACTTTATGTAGTTTTAAAAATATTTTCTACATATAACATTAAAGTAGCAATTATTAATATCATCGTAGGGATTCTATTAGGAGGTACCCAGATTAGCACTAGAAATTTGTCGATGAAAGTTTTAATATTAAATTACATAATTTTTAGTTTGTTATTTTCTACTGCATACAAAAGTAAAATGGTAGATATAATGACAAATGACAAGTCTACTCAGCTGATAACTTCTAGGAAAGATGCTTTAAAGCATTCGTTTAAATTTGGTGTACCTGGACAATTTCCTCTACAACTAATGAAACATTCATACGATCCTCTGGATGTTGCTCTAGTAAAGAAGAATTTGGTAATCGACTGTGGGAGTGCTAAGGAATGTCTCGATCGTATTGCCTTTCAAAAGGATATAATGACAATGCATTTATTGATGCCTTTGCAATCGCTAATACCTAAGATGTATATGGATTCTAATGGACGATCTTTGTTTTACATCACCGACACGGATAAACACCATTATCAATTTGGTATCTACTTTCAGAAAGGACATCATTTATATGATATATTTAATACTAAACTTATGGGTTTAAAAGATAGTGGAATTGTGGATTTTCTGTACAAAAAATACAAGCGAAACTATACCAAAGCTATGACTCTCGCTAAGTTGGAAAATCTTAAAAGATATTCAACGCTAAGATTAAAGACTTATCAAACTACGTTTTATGTCTATTTTATTTTTGTGTTTTTTAGCGTACTAGTGTTTACTATAGAACTATTTCTTGGTTATAAAAAGCGCTAAAAATTTTATATGTACATTTCAAATTTTGTAGACTTACATTCACACTTGAATGTTATAATTAAATAAAAGTATTGTTTCTCTTTATTTGCCTTCATTTTTAACATTCTGGATATGGATTTTAGTCATAGTAAAGATACAAAGGAATATATTATCAAGACATCATCTGGAGAAAATCACTGAAGAAAAATTAAATGTGGAAATCCCACCAGAAAAATGTATCAACAGAGGCTGTCGCAGAAAGTACAACACAAACAAAGGAATAATATTAAAGATATAAATGAGAACTGGAAATAATTAAAAAAAAATAACATTGGTGAGGTTGTAACGAGTGAGGTTGAGGTCTTAAATCCTCCCTTTTAACTCATTTGTATGGTTTCTTGTGTACACATTTAATCAGAGAGTTATTTATTAATATTTTATTATTATTATATATTTAAACCTTTGGACATCTATCCCGTCAGAATAGTGTCCTTATTACTTGTTAAGACATTTAATTGAATGCCAAAATACTGAGTTACATCTCTAGTAGTCAAGTAAATTACCTTTTTAGGTATAATCATTAAATTTATTCTTATATTTTATTATTTGTAAATTCAGATTATCAAGGATCAGTTGTATGTAACCAAGGTATTTATATTCTTTTTGTATATAAGTAATTAGATTAACTGTACATAATTGGTGGTGGGTATTTTAGGGTAAATTTAGACTGTATATATTTGGATAGGGATTAAATGTTTGGCGAAAACTAAATATTTCAATTAATACCTTGGAAAGTTTATGTAAATACTTTCCTGGCGCCCACTCACATTTTGGAACACTTCTATAATAACTTTTATTTACATTAGTTATATACCTATATGTTTATTACCTTGTCATTCATTTTCTTATTCTACGGTCTCTGTAGAGCATGCAAATTGGACGAATCCTCTGAGTGTCAAGTAGTCACTCTCCGGCACCTTCTGCTAGCCAGGTTTAAATTATACGTTATCTTTTACATTACCCTAAATACTTGTGTTACGTTACACACTTTTATTACATTGGCGTCCTAAACCTCGCAGTCCACACATTTTTTGTTACAAGGTTTCCAAAAATGTAAAAAAAAACTAAAAAAATGGTTTAGAAAAAAAAAATACAAGATAAATGTAAAAAGAACGAGAGATCTACCTGAAGTATAAAACATCAAATACTTCAGAATTTAGATAAGCCTATAGAAGAATAAGAAATGAAACAAACGAGTCGGTAAGAAGAACAAAAATTAACATTGGAAGAGTTTACACAAAAGAATGGAAAGTGACTTCTACGGTGCACAAAAACAAGTATGGACATTTACAAGAAACGAACGGAAGGAAATGGTAGAATTAAAGTAAAAGAATAACAAACCCGTAAAGTAATGGGAAATATACTTAACGGTACTATTTAATGGAAAAGAAAACGATAATCAACACAACAACGTGCGTGAATTAAGACACGAAATAGAAATCAGTCGACAAGAGGACGAAATAACCATAAATTCACTAAAAAACAAAAAGTCTCCGGGACCAAACGGTATAACTACATAGCTCCTGAAATATGGAGGAGAAAAATGCAAAATGCAGATGCATGGAGAAAAAGCATAATGCTAAATAGGCTCAAAAAAGGAGACAAAGAAGAGCTCAACAACTATAGGGAATAAAATAAAATAAATAAAATATATAAAACCCCATTAACACCGCAGTCAAACTTACTACAAAAGCCTTAACAAACAGAATTGATAAATTTGACGCCGTGTTTGTATTAAAACAAATCATAGAAAAGGGCATTGACTTTAATAAACCGGCATGGTTATGCTGTGGCGAAAAAGGTAACAAAAGTAGATAATAAAAAGTTTCTCGTTCACAATACTTAGCGAAGACCACGTTGCTCAGTTTGGGGCTTTATTGGGGTGGGTAAGCATATAGATCACGGAATAGAGCTAAACTGTAAAACAAAATTGGCGCCAATGAGTTTTAACTTGAAATTCATGAAGGAACTCAAGATTAAATAAACTAAACAAACCTGTCAGTCTCTAAAAGACATTAGAAAAATACGTTAGAAAACATATCAGCTAATTGTCGACGAAAATCATGAAAATCGACATAGTTAACCATAAGCTGTGAATAAGGTTACATTTTCAATAAGACAGAATTATATCTTCTCTACAAAAATAAAATAATATTTCACAACAAAAAATTATGTTTATTAAACTTTCAAATATACACAAACATGAATTTATTATGTACTCAAAAAATATAAACATTGTCAAAAATCTTATAATTATTCTCATCAGCCTGAATTAATTTTTTTGTTAAACTGTTGGTTTTTTACCAAGTTTAGTTTAGGAAAAATACAAATAAGCAGATAAACGTATTCAATTTCATTTGTTTATTGAATATATGACATTATAAACTGTGACCATATGGTAACACTAGGTCAAAATAATAAAAAAATATTATAAGATTTACTCTTTATGAAATATGGCAAAGCATTCAATGCAAAGTCCAATATCTCATTTCTCCCACTGCGTACGTCCTACTGAGCAGCACCCTTCTCCTGCGCACCGTCTTCGTTTTTTGTTAGGAACAGGTATAATGAAATGGTTAATACGATGGTTAACACCATATGAAGTTGATGCCATTGTTAGGACGGCGTTATCCATCCATTTTGTCAACATAATACCATCTTCCTTGTCAATTTTTAAAACCAAATAACCTCGAGTTTGTTTGGACATAGTTTTTTTATCGATAAGTGGAACATTTTGTGATATTCTGTTCTCTCTTATCGTTCCTATGACACCATATCCTTTTTCTTTTAAATTCACCATTAAATTGAATCCAGTAAAAATTTTATCTATATAGATTTGGTAAGGCAGCTTTTGTTGTGGCAAAGTGTCCAACATCGAGACAATTGGAGTGGCTGCCTTTTAAAATGCAAGTTGGCAAAAATCGTTCGAATTTGTACTTTTCCCTTGATAGATCTCAAAATTTACAAGGTAACTAGTTTCGGAGTTAACCGAATCTTATCGGTTTTCCCCTAATGAATGGTTTACAATGATGGCTACCATGTTTCACCATCGACTCATCATAATTTATATTTTCAGTTGGTTGATAATATTTGACAAAAGAACTCTGTAATTTTTTTATTACTGATCTAAATTTCCACATTTTATCATTTAAATGCATTTGCGTATTATCAGCACAGTGCATAAAACGTAGTATTTGGATAAACTTGTCGCGACGCATTGCATCCTTTACCATTTTATTGGAAATGTCTGCTCCATTGTCCCAATAAAACCTTTTTACAGGAAGACAGTTGTATCCAGACATAATCAAAATACCCAAAAAACATTTGAGCTCGTCCAAGGTAACCTTCGGATCAGGACAATTCACAAAAAGATCGTATCTTCTGGTTTCGTCTAAACTAATATTTCGTTATCGAAAAACAACTCAAATAAGTTTATAGGGCTCACATTTTTAAATTGTGAGTAGTCTGCTTCGATCCCAGTTCTTTTAATATACTTTTTTCCCCTTAGTATTTTAAAAAACTAGTATTAGTTTCTGTATCAAGTGATGACATACGTGGTGTTTGCTCGTCTTCCATCTCATTTAAAAAACTATTGTCTTCTAATGCACCATCAATATAACCCAGCTCGGCTTCTGCTAATATTTGTCTTCGGGATTATCTTAAGTCTCTCCACGGGAACCTACTACTGAGGTACTCTTGTTTTTTTACATTTTTTTGGCCATAATGCTTGACAATTCGTTAAAGGAATTACTTTTTTCTACGTTGGAGTCGTCGTTACCAGGTACCTAAGCTCCTATTACTACTCAGTCATATCCTTTTAATTTTATTTCTAGTTGGACTATTCGCTCATTAATCTAGTTTTAACTAGTGATGAATTTATGAAGTTGTTTCTTCACCAAATTAGAAACTCTTTTCTTTGGGAACAACGCTTTTTATATGGATGTAATCGTTTCATTCTTAAAGTCCTCTGTCCTTTTTTGACTTGGTCTAGTGCAACAATGTCTACGTTGTGTTTCTTCAGTTCTTGTGATACTTTTTCATATTTACTGGTTACTGGTTAAACTTACATTCCAGGTTCCAAAAATCATAGTTCTTTTTCGTTTACAGTGTCGATTACCATTTTTTGCGTCTGTTTTTTTTTGTGCTCGGGAAATTTAACTGTTGTCAAGTTTTATTCAGATGATGAGTTGCCATCACGTCGATCGAACCATCATTCCAGAAGGACAGGTAATTTTTCTGTCAGGGTTTTCTTTTCCTCATATTGATTGTTTTAATCCTGTGTCGTCTGCCTGTTACTTTCTCCTCTTCTCCTTTCTCATCTGTTGTATGATGGAACCTCAGGCTTGGGACTGTTACAGCGGAGTTGACAGTATTATATAATATTAAATTATATATTTAGCTTTATGTCTTCATAACATTTAATGTTTTTTTTATTATTTTCTAACTATTTTTGCTGTAAGACCATTATAATATTAAATAACCATATATTACGATTATGAGCTTTGATAACTTTTTGTGCTTTAATGGATTATAGTAGAATGATTTTTTTATTATAAAACATGTGTTTACTGCAACATATATGCCTGATATGGCTTATATGTCCTAGAATTTCAAGTTTTAATTTCTCCTTATTCAAGCCAGATATTGTTAATGACGGAATAGAAATTTGGATTAAGGATGTATTAATTTCATATCCAATTAACAAAAATCTTGTTTATTTAATTAATACAGATATTACAGTGAGTTTTCCATCGGTTTATTACAATTCTCAAAAGAAAATAACGATATTATGTAAAACTCTCCCAAATGTGTACATTATTTCGGGAAGTGTAACTGAAATTTTACCTCTACTAATTGAATTGTCGGTATTCAATAGTACGGGATTATTTATTATTATATGTGCTGCATTTAATCACGAGGATGTACATATTTTAAATACATATTACATACAAAAGATTTATATTATCGTTAAAGGTGAAGATGCACATATATATCAAACATTTCAATGTTCGTTTAGAACTTGCACCCAGAAAAGCGTCAACCTAAACCCCTTAAATTGTTTTAAGGGTATAGACTTTCAGAGCTTTCCTGCAGTACATGCATTGTGGACCTTTTATCCACCTTTCGTTATTAACCCAGAAGAAGGTATCCACATTGAGATGATAAATATGATTGTTTCGAACATAAAATTAAAAATAAAATACACATTGTCTGACAATGATGTCAATCCCTTAGTAGTTGACCCAAATTTTTATAATACATCTTATGATATATTTGTTAACCCCGTATTATATGCTTCTACGGTATTTGACAATACCTATAGCATTACAGAAGATGAAGCCGTATTCCTGTTTCCTGTCATTAACATTAGTAATGATTGGAAGACACTTTATGGAGAATTCCATTTTTATGTTTGGAGATGCTTTTTGGGTTTAATTTTTATAATTTATTTAATTTTAAAAATATTTTCAACATATATCAGTAAAGTACCAATTATTCATATCATCGTAGGAGTTCTATTAGGAGGATTTACAAAAATTAGCACTAGAAGGTTGTCGATGAAAATTTTAATATTAAATTACATATTTTTTAGTTTGCTATTTTCTACTGCATACAAGAGTAAAATGGTAGATATAATGACAAATGACAAGTCTACTCAGCTGATAACTTCTAAGGAAGATGCTATAAAGCATTCATTTAAGTTTGGTGTGCCTGGCCAATTTGCTATTCAACTAATGAAACGGTCACACGATCCTTTAGATATTGCTCTATTCCAAAAGGGTCTGATAATCGACTGTGGAAGTTTAGTCGAATGTCTCGATCGGGTTGCGTTTCAAAAAGATATGATGACAATGAGATTATTGATGCCTATGCAATCGCTATTACCTAGGATGTATCTAGATTCTAATGGACGATCTTTGTTCTACGTCACCGACACGGTTAATATCCGTTTTCATTTTAGTATCTACTTTCAGAAAGGACATCATTTATATGATATATTTAATACTAAACTTATGGGTCTAAAAGATAGTGGAATTGTGGATTTTCTGTACAAAAAATACAAACGAAACTATACCAAAGCTATGACTCTCGCTAAGATAGAAAAGGTTAAAGGACATTCAACGCTAGGATTGAAGACTTTTCAAACTACGTTTTATTTGTATTTTATTTTTGTGTTTTTTAGCCTACTAGTGTTTACTACAGAACTATTTCTTGGTTATAAAAAGCGATAAAAACTTCATATGTGTATCTGAAATTTTGTAGGCGGTTTTTCACTTACATTCACAGTTAAATACTTTAATTAAATAAATTAATTTTATTCTCTTCAATTGCCTTATTTTTAAAATTATGGTAGTGGATATGCATGCTTCTTTCTCACTGTGAAAAAAGTTAGAACTATCGCACACACGATTAGTTCAATCAATATATTTTTTTCCATAGCTAATGTTAAAGTGTTGCTATAACAACTGTTTTGAGTAGATAAAGTATCACTTTAACCGCAAGGGTAAATAAAGTGACACTTTAACAGCAAGAGTAGATAAAATGTTTTAACTTTTTTTTATTCAATAAAATTTAGAAATTCATTAAGGATTAAGATTAAGATTAGAAATTCAAAACACATTAAGGATTAAAAACAACTGAAATTTTACAATTAACATTATTAAAAATATCTATTTTTGGAGCATCACAACTTGTACTCGTTTGCTTAAACACTTGATTCGAGGTACTGGATTGATTTTCTGTAACATTTGTTTGACATTTGTTGACAGAGTAGGTAATTCATATCCCTAGCAACGGAGCAACACAATTGCGATTTTTGTGCTAAAAATTACAATTTTGTTTAAAATTCTATTTTTCACCTGAACTTGAAGTTTTGCTATATAAAAAATGTATTACACACGACGATAAAATCGCATTATCTTCTCGAGCATAATTAGCGTCTCGACTGACGTCGAGATAAAAAATGTCTAAAAAACGCTCTCGAAGATAAAGTACAATGTTATCGTCTTATAAAATAAATAACTATTAATAGAATCACTTCAGAAAAATCATACAATGAAGTGTTGTCTTTAGTTGCACCTATAATGCAAAACACTATAATGTGAGAAGCAACTTGTTCTCATGCACAGCTACAGGCAGAAGATAAAACCCAAAGAAGTTTTCAGTATTCTACCTTAATGTCCAGAAAAACGTTCTTCTTCTTGATGTGCCTATCCGTTACGAATATTGGCGATCATCATGGCAATCTTTATCTTATCTGCAGCAGCGAGGAAAATCTGCACAGATGTTGTATTGAACTAGATTCTGAGGTTGTTTAACCAAGATGTTCTTCTTTCTGGACCTCGCTTTCCAAATATTTTTCCTTGCAGGATGGACAAACATTTTTTTACGTGTCCGTACAATTTTTTAAAAATTGTCTTTTATAGAAACCTTCTCCTCGAACAAAGAAAAGAAAGATTAATCCAATTTGATGCAGTCGTTTTGAAGTTCTGCGCGTATAAACATTTCAGTGACTTACTTTTATTTATATGATGATATTGTTTTTATACATTAAAATATTTCTAATTTTTCCTATTTTTTTCAGGTAAGTGTTCAGTTAATCTTAGCAAAAATGTTTGGTGAGTACTGCTTTTTAATTTCAAGAATTTTTAAAATTATTTTTTGTTAAACATTGTTACATCTTTAGTGTTCTCCTCTATACAGTAGAAAGCTGGAGTCTTACAGAAGATCCCATAAAACGGTTTAGTCCAGTCGTCAGACAGTTGACCTCTAAAACTCATACGAACAAGCTGAATTTTTCCGAGAATATTAACTTTCGGACCCTAAAAACAGCAGATAAATTTACCACTTCTACCCATGGGATTCCCCATAAAACTCACCTCGTACGGGGAAAAACACAAAAAAATCTATTTAACAAGAATCTGTAAGCCGTAGAAAAAAATTTTTCAAATTAAAATTGTAGCTGAGATAGTCTTAAACAAAAATGTTTATTAGCACTTTTTGTGTAGAATGAACCATTCTCTCAGAAACAACTCTTGATACGACCATCAATTTTGAATGTCAGTTACGTGCGCGAAATAAATATTCAATAAAATTTGTATCAGCTCGACGGCAAAAATTCGATATCTTTTGATCCAAGTGTCATATCTACAAAAATCAAGATGCGTTTTAAAGGTAAGTAGTTTTTGTATTTTGCCTGGAATAACCTCAGTTTTTATGAAGGCGTTAAATGAATAAACGTGGCACGATTTTTGCCATGTTTTAAGATTCTCGTGAGATCAATAAAATTTAATCAATTACTACAGTCAATCGTAGTAAGATTTTCATTGTTAGAGAATAATCTTTAAAACCTATGACATGTGTTTGGGAAATTATGTAGTATCTATTGTCATATTTTCATTTAATATTTTTCTTTTACTGTACAATAATGTGATCTAATTCAATGGTGTATTCTTACGACTTTGCTTTAAAATATATTGTTTCCTGTTATTTCGTAAAATCGCATTGTTAAGCTGCCTATCTCATTTATGCTGTTTTAAGGTGGAGGATTTGACTTTTTCTTTTGTTATTTTGTGTCGCCAATATACACAAAACGTGTGAAGTATCATATTACTGTTACCATTGAATTGGATGTCGCTATTCAGAGGCGCCCTACAATAGTATTGATTTATGGGATGCATTTGCTCATAAACCACCTAAGGGCTCTTGTTAACGAACGTTTTTTTCAACGGGTAACGGGCCGATGCTAAACAGGTACCCGTGTCGACGGTTCTTAAATTTCAAGGATATGCGTCCGTTGACAGTATGGAATCTTCGAAATATCGTCAGTTTTAAAGTAACGAGTGCAAATTATACTTCTTCTTCTTCTTCTTCTTCTTCTTCCTTCTAGTATATAGGCTTTAAAGCCTGTTTCTTCTTCAATATTAGCCTCCTAAATTGTCGCACCAACTTTTTCTTGGTCTTGTTCTTGGTCTGCCAATATTTCTTCGTCCATTTGGTGACTTATCTCGTGCTATTCGTACTATTCTATCCTCTGCCATTCTACTGATATGTTCATTCCACTCCTGTTTTCGTTTTGGTCACCCATCCATTTATGTCTTCTATATTGCATGCTCTTCTTATGTTTTCGCTTTTCTCCCTATCCAATAGATTTCTCCGTGATATTCGTTGGAGTATTTTCATCTCTGTTGTTTCTAGCAGTCGTCTCGTTTTTTATATGTCAGGTCTTGTCTCCGCCGGGTATGTTAATATATGTCTAATTGCTGCTTTATAGATTCTGGTTTTTGGGTCTTGTCTTATGTGTTTGTTCTTCCAGATTGTGTAATTAAGAGAACCCGCCGCTTTACTTGCTTTTAAGCTTTGTTGTCGTACTGTCGTACTTCTTCTTCAACTTCTCCGTAACTAGTTGTATCTATTCCCAAATATCTAAACCTTGCTTTCTGCTTTATTATTTTCCCATCAATTTCGATTTTACACCGTAGTGGGTATTTAGATGTTGTCATACATCTAAATACCTGATCTAATACATAAAATCAATGTCTGCTGATATTATCATATTGTATTTCTTAGCTGTTGTATTGAAGTTATGTGTTAATCTTTGGAGCTCGTCTTCTGTCTTGGCGATTAATGCGGCGTCGTCTGCATAACATAATATTTGGATTTCTTTGTTCCCCACTCTGTAGCCATAACCTTTACGCACTGCTATTATTATTTCGTCCATTATTATATTAAAGAGAAGTGGGCTCAACGAGTCACCCTGTCTGATTCCGCTTTGTGCTGGTATACACTGTGTTATTTAAAAAAAATATATACTAGCGTATTATTTGTGGACTAACAAAATAGGATGTATCCAAATAATACGCTAGTATAAAAAATTATATTATTTGTATTTGTTTGTACTGTACTTGTACTTGTTTGTACATTTGAACTAGGTATATAACAACAACAAATATCATCTAACTGCATACATTTTTATTACGATATTGAAAAAATATAACAAACAGAAAATATTTACATAGAACTTATATATTTAATTATGTATAATTGCTTGAAAATATTCATTTATTAAAATATTTCTGGTATTATTGCCATTAGGATTACGTCTTCTTGCAGCATATTCATTTACATGCATTGTTAATTGAATAGCATTTACTTCTTCTTCGTTCACATGTGAAACCTCATCATTTATGTTTCAACCTTTTTCTTGTTGTAACCTTATTCCTAAAGCTAGGATAGGAAAACGACGTTTCTATATGCCGAAACATCTTTCAATTGTATTACGAGTACGTATTTGGGCTTCATTAAAAAGTTGTTCAGCTCTAGTTGTTGGATTATTTAAAGTGGTAATCAAATTGCGTATAAGTGGGTACATACTATCTCCAACTATTAAACTTTCTGCTCCATATGTATTTGCTTCCATATTGACACGCAAGCGAGAATGACGGAATATCATAGAGTCATGCTCAGATCCATGCCATCTGCAGACTAAGGTCATTATAATTAATCTGGAGTCACAAATCGCTTGCACATTGTATGAAAAAAATCCTTTCCTATTTCTGTAGATTTCAGGTTGATTACCTCCTGGAGATATTATTTTTATATGAGTACAATCGAAAGCCCCTAAACATCTTGGAAATCTACAAATGTTATAAAAGCCTTGACGAACACTATTAATTTCTTCATTGGTTTGTGGCATTTGTATGAATTCATTTTTTAGTGCAGCTATGGCATGCATGACTCTTGTTATAATATAATACAACATTGAAAATCTGAGAATAGCAAAAAGCATTTGCGCGGGTGACAGTGCATGATTCCTAAAAAAAAAACATAATGAATTTTAAATCAGACGTACTAAAATACCTATACCAACCTAAATGTTTTTGAAGTAATTGGGTGAGCAATTTTATTCAAAACATAGAGCACTACAGTTTTTGACATTCTAAAACGATTTCCAACTTCTTCGTCAGTTCACTTTTGGAAATGGTCAACTCGAGCTCTAAAATGTCGAGAAGCGCGATTTACCAGAACCACCAATTCTGCAAAATCTTCATCATCGGTCATATCATTAACAACATCCAACAATTGATTAGCATTCGTGGTTTTTAAAAGATTTTCTCAACATAAAACGGTCACACAACAAATATTAAAATTTTTAGGTTGACTTTAGTTGAAGTTGACAGAATAAAGACAAATTTTTAAGCGCGTGCTTAAAAGTTAAACCGTCGCTAAAGCTGGTTTACAGTTAAGTTGGCCAAATGTAGGGTTTAAAGTTTTATACAACACAAATCGAACTTAAACTCGATTTAATCTACATGCCTAACGTTAATCACTCTTTATACAACTCGCCCTTAATGGAGCAAAAATGGTACCAACGCTACTATACGCTACGAATATATCAATATTTCAAAAGCTGAGCATGTATTTTTTGTACAGACAACAGTATGAGCTAAAGCTAGTTAATTTCGTAATTTATTCACAGTTGTATTTGCTTTTTTTCTCTAATTGATTTACAGTCAAAATATGCATTTTTTTCTTCATTATTATTTCTGATATCATTTAACCAGTGACCTCTAAGTTTTATGAAAAACAACATGAAATTTCAATTTTGAGTTGGAGCAACAAATATGAGGCAAAAATGAAGAAAGGCAGCAAATATTTGATTACAACTAAGCAGAAATCCTTAGCGAATTGTGCTTCTAGTACCCACATAGAGTAAACCCGAATAAAATGAAGAAAGGCACCAAATATTTGATTTCACTCAAACAAATCCTATGTATCTCTTGATACGTATTTCGACCTAATAGGTCTCGTCAGAAGAGCTATTCATAGGAGTCCTCAACGTGAAAAATCAATATTTTCTGCCTTTTAAGAAGCAACAATAACATGGCTTCAATACGGACGCAGTAGCGACATCTAATTACAACAATAGTAAAATAGTTTCGAAACAATTCAGATTTCTGCTTTATAATCTGAGCCTTCTAAAAATTGCAAGGCAAACAGACGTTGATAAAAGATGTTAAAAGAGACATGGGGAATCTAAAATTTGCATTCCACGACATGTCTTTTACAACTAAGCAGAAATCCTTAGCGAATTGTGCTTCTAGTACCCACACAGAGTAAATCCGAATAAAATTAAGAAAGGCGGCAAATATTTGATTTCACGCAAACAAATCCTATGTATCTCTTGATACGTATTTCGACCTAATAGGTCTCGTCAGAAGAGCTATTCATAGGAGTCCTCAACGTGAGAAATCAATATTTTCTGCCTTTTAAGAAGCAACAATAACATGGCTTCAATACGGACGCAGTAGCGACATTTAATTACACCAATAGTAAAATAGTTTCGAAACACAATTCAGATTTCCGCTTTATAATCTGAGCCTTCTAAAAATTGCAAGGCAAACAGACGTTGATAAAAGATGTTAAAAGAGACATGGGGAATCTAAAATTTGCATTCCATGACATGTCTTTTACAACTAAGCAGAAATCCTTAGCGAATTGTGCTTCTAGTACCCACACAGAGTAAATCCGAATAAAATGAAGAAAAGGCAGCAAATATTTGATTTCACGCAAACAAATCCTATGTATCTCTTGATACGTATTTCGACCTAATAGGTCT